CAACCACTGATGAGACTGGCACGACTCAGGTAACAAGTGGGTCAACTGAAGGCACCAACACAACTGATAAATCTGGAACAACTGAGGTGACAAGTGGGCCAGCTGAAGGCACCTACACAACTGATAAATCTGGAACAACTGAGGTGACAAGTGGGCCAACTGAATTCACCTACACAACCCACCAATCTGATAAAACCAAGGTAACGACTGTGCAAACTGATGGCACCTCTACAACTGATCAAACTTACGCAACTGCTGCAGTTTTAACGACTACATCCAGCAATCCTCCTGCAAGTTCTGGTCAAACTGGAACAACAGTGTCAATTTTATCAACTGCGTTTACTGATGCAACGTCTTCCACTGACTACATCTCAACAACTGAGTCAACTGTAACAAGTCAACCCACTCATAGCATATCCACATCTCATCTTTCTGGCACAACTCAGTTAACAACTGGGCAAAGTGATTCCACCTCCGATGAATCTGGAACAACTGAGGTATCAAGTGGGTCAACTGAAAGCCTCTACACAACTGATCAATCTGTTCAATCGGAGGTGACAACTCTTCAAACTGATTGCACCTCTACAACTGATCAAACTTATACAACACATCGATTGTCCACAGCTGAGTCCAGTGATGCCTCTTCAACAACCGACCAAACTGATCCAACGGCTGCAATTCTATCCACTGCATCCAGTAATCCCCCTGCAACTTCTGTTCAAAATGGAACAACAGTGTCAGTCTTATCAACTGTGTTTCCTAATGCGACTTTTGTCTCAACCACTGAATTAACCACATCAAGTAACCCCACAGATGGCACGTCAACAAGCTATCTATCTAGTACAACTGTGGTAACAACTGGGCAAAGTCATGCCACCCCTTTCCCTGATCAGACTGGTACAACACAGTTAACTTCTGAGCAAACTGGTGGCACATACTCAACCCCTCAATCAGGATCAACTGTAGTAACACCAGTGCAACCAAACACACCGTCTTCTAACCCAACTTCGCAGCCACCAACTACAGCCACAACTAAACCACCTACAACTCCTTCACCTCAGCCAAGCAGTGGACCAACAATTTCCACACGAGAGCCATTACAATGTCAGAATGGAGGAACTTACAATGGCTACAACTGCACATGTCCTACTGGGCTCACTGGAACTGTTTGCCAGTTCGTTGAAGTTGATGTTGAGCCAGGTAAAACAGATTGCTAACAAAGTGTCATTTGAAAACCTTGGATCATTTATTTATTCATTTATTTTTTTGCCCTTTCATAGTCAAATTAACACTTGTTTCTCTTCACAGTTACCTTCAACCGAAAGGTAGTGGTTAATTTGGTCATTGACCAGGAATACAATGTAAAATATGACGATGAAACTTCACGTGAATACAAAGAATTTGTTGGAAACTTCACCAACCAGGTAAGATAAATGGATAAAGCATGTTTTTTCACTGGTACTGAATATAACTATGCATTAATTGTTTTATATTGCCAATGGGTGAACAGGTTGTAATGTAACTCTGCTCAGGGGCTGATCCCTATAAAGGACTCAGGCAGAATTTTTCTCAGAAAATCTTACAGTTGTGATTTTATGCTTGTTCCCATGCCTTGCCTCTCTTTAGCTCCATTACAGTGCTCATTGTGTGCAACAGTAGATAATGTTAGCTAAGAAATGGAGTCTGCCAACATCAACAAATTGCCAGCACCCACCACAACATGAGTCCACACATGCTGTGTTTTTGTTATATACATTTTATCGCTGTGGTAGGGCAAAGACAGGCCTTCACTTAGCACCCTGTATTACCTTGGTTTCAGCCAGAGCAATACCTAGCTGACCTTAGATTGTTTGCTAACGTGGACAACTTGCTTGCCAGCTAACATAGCCGTTATGTTCTATAACTTTTGGATCGCAGCTTCAGCTTAGCGTTAACTTTATCTTTTTTAAATTTATTTATTCATGGGAAACAACATGATAACAAGTCATACCTGCATTTAAACTTGCAACCTAAGTAAGTAATCTGAGTAGGCAGCCAATTACCAGCATAGCCATGTGGAATATTGTGCCACATGAGAGACTATGCTCTGAACACTGGTTGAGAAAGTCAGACATAGTCTGAGATAGTGTGACATAGTCTTTGCAGTACCTTGGCCTGACCCAGACCTCTGGTTCAGCACCGCAAAGCGGCGTGGTTTTGCCCTCCGTCTTCAGTGAAACTGCTGATTCATTTGCTCTGTGACCTTACCTTACTTTTTTGGGGTGCTGCTGCCACAATTGCAGGTGGATGCAGCTGATCCAGAATAAGTTGCAGCTCACGCTCCTTCATTAAAATGGCTGGGGAGCTGCCAGTGGTGGAGTGTGGTGTTGCCTGGTACTGCAGCAGGGTGCAGAGCAATGCAGCTGGAAAAAGGAGGACCATCCTCCAGGTGTGTTAGGACACCATTTTTCAGTGTCTGCGCGAACCTCTCTACACTCTAATTTGCCTCCAGGCGGTAGAGGGCTATGCAGATGTGGTTACTTCCCCTTTTCTCCACAAGGGCCACGAACTCAGCAGAGACAAACTGTGGACCGTTATCCATGGTGACGATTTCAGAGATGCCCCATCAAACAAACAGAGTAGCAGGGAAGTCTGTGACCACTGTAACAGACCCTGTCGCAACCACCGCTGGCCACATCGAATGGAGGTCATAGGCTACCACCAGGAAACACTGATGCTGTGGAGCGCCATGGACCTCCCAACAGATGTCCACCTGGATGTGTTCCTGCAGTGGCCACCCACACCGGCAGACATGGGGGCAGCTGTGGGCCAGTCTTCCCACTGACAATACAGGTTTTGCAGTCTTTTACCATGGCCTCTATATAGCTATAAATGCCTGGCCACCACACTTAGTCTCTGCTGCATTGCATCACCTTCACGATGCCCAGGTGACTTTCCTGTGCCATAGACATAATGCGCACTTTCAGGGTGCTCGGGATGACCGTGCAGAGTCCCTTGGACACACAGACATCATTCCAGCAAGAGAGATCATCCTTGACTCATTGGAAAGGCTACAGCTTCTCTTGGACTTCTGAGGGCCATCCCTCCTGGATAAAAGTGTGGAGATGGAAGAGCATGGGGTCCTGTGCTGACTTGAGCTGAAGGACCTGGTGGAGACTATGGCCTGTGGGGGAGTGTGGATCATATGGATAAGCTCTGGTTCCGTCCCGTCCAGGCCAAGGTTGTGTGTGGGGTTCAAGAGTAGCTCGAGAGAGCAGGTCCCCCCCTACTGTCTCTCGGCCAGGAGTAAACAGCGTGGTAAAATTGTATTGCTGGAGCCTCTCTGACCAGCAGTGGCTCCGCAGTAGTTTGTACCCTGACCCAGTTGTAGCAAGCAGGGCTGTGAGGGCCTGGTGGTCCGTCCACAGTGTAAAGTGCTGTCCATACACATACATGTGCCACCACTCACATGCCCAAACACACATCAGTGCATATTGCTCCCCCACTAAGAGCTTTTGTTCAGCTGAGGTGAGGGATCGAGAGGCAAATGCCAAAGGGCATTCAATACTGTGCTGTAGCTGAGACCGCACAGCTCCGATCAGAGAGCAGTGCCCCTTATAACAAGGATTTTGTTTAAGTTACATACCAAATCTTTAAAGCAATATGAATAGGGGATATGTGCATTGTAAATCTTTTTAAGAGACTATTTTTTTTTAGCAAGCCTTGCCTCAAAGTTTAGTCTGTATTTTTTAAGAGACAATGACCTCTGTGCATCTTTTGTATATTGCGACATGTTGCATTTTGCCCCTTGCACAATAAAAAGGATCACACATTATGTTAAGACTGGAGAGAGCACTCTCCAATCCAGTGCACTAAGCTTATAGTTGACAGTGGTAGTTCATTTAATACCACAGTCCAGTCCTTTCTTACCGGCTGGAGGGTATATGTTAAATAATAGGTACAAGCAATGTGTGTCACTGTGAAGTACTGTCCCTATTGAATACCCCAATCAGGAAGTTTAAACTGATACCAAACTATTGCAATCAAGCATGTCTAACACCCAGAGCTGCAAACCTAAGTTTAAGTTTATAAGTTTAAGTTTAAGTTTATTTCCTTTATTAATCCCCCTGAGGAGAAATTCAATGTTTTCACTCTTGCTTATCAATTACACACAGGTCCGAAAGACACACACATGCACAAACAGGACCCATACATGCACAAATTGGAGAGATGTCAGAGTGAGGGGGCTGCCCTTGGTGAGGCGCCCCGAGCGGTTGGGGGGTTCGGTGCCTTGCTCAAGGGCACCTCGGCAATGCCCAAGAGGTGAACTGGCACCTCTCCAGCCACCAGTCCACGCTCCATATTTTGGTCCGGACGGGGACTCGCACAGACGACCCTCTGGTTCCCAACCCAAGTCCCTATGGACTGAGCTACTGCCGCCCCCTAGGCCTCTCACATAACAACGAGGCAGCCCTGGGGTCAACAGATGAAGAAATACCATCATGCTAATCACAGAACAGGCTGTGACACAACCCATCTGTTGCTTATAAAATAATTATCACTAGCCTGACATTTATTTAACACAAGCAGCCAAAAACAGATGGTTATACTGTGGGGGGGCAAAACATCACATTTAGGAGGCACCTCACATTCTGTGTCTATATATCACTCTTTGTGCTTTCAGCTATCTTATCTCTAAAAAACATTTAATTACCCTGACAACAATTTTTCATATTACCCATGGTAGTACTGTGAAGACTTTTTTTTAATTTTATTTTGTCATTCTTTTCAGATGGAGAAATATTACCTAGCAAAGAAGATCACAAACTTCAAAGAAGTGGTGGTAATTAGTGTCAGGTAATATACTTTTGTAAACAAAATATTTATAATTGAAGGTGTCTTAAAGGCACAGATGCAATTTAATTTAAGAGTGACTCCCTGCTTTTTTTTCTTAGCCGTGGAGCCCCTTTGGTCAGATTCTTACGTAACCCTGTGGATGAGGTAAAGCAATTCAAACACTTTGCCAACAGCGCATTAAGTCAGAGATGAGAGGTGCAAAGCGCTCATTATTTTCGTTATCTATATTTCAGAGGCAGTTATGGGACAAAGCCATGGCTTTCCACAGTATCACACCAAGAACAGAAAGGTAATCTGAGAAGAGTAAAGAGAGTAAGATTTTTCTTTTGCAATAAATAAATAAATGAATATGTTGTTAAAATTGTCAGAATTTCTTGAGACTTCCTCACTGAAACTGACATGTATGAAATTCTTTCTGCCTTAGTGTTAATGTCACACATGATGTGGTTCTGGGGATTCCAAATAATGCTAGTGCTGAAAAACTATATTGGGAAGATGTTGAAGCAATTGTCGAGGCTGTTGAAGGCCTTGACAGCTGCACAGGAGGTAAGACAGAAAATTCATAATCATCTATGCATTGTTAGCAAAATATGAAATAAGATCAGATCTATTTTCATTCAGATAACAACAGTCTGTGAAGATGTATGGTCATAGTAAACCATTGTTGTCATTTGTTATATATTTCACTAAAAACCATAAATGCTAGTGGTACTCAAGGAAAAGTCAGGGTGTGACCAAAATCATTAGGATACCTCGTCTGGTAACTGAATGTCTATCAAAGTTGGCGCCAACCCTTTTAGAAGTTGTTGAGATATTTCACTGCACATGTGAAGACTTTGACATGAGGCATGTACTATGAAACCAGTTCAACTTACCCAGGACATTTTTCATTATCTGGCCTTGACTAAACTGTCACATTGGCTGTCTGGATAACCGGTACCACAAAGCTGGTTATCAGTTAGTGCAGTCAACTCTGGGTACTCTGGATACTCTGTAATCCTATAATGGAAAATGTAGAAATATTGAAAATACTATCCAAAAATTCACCGTCAGCCAAGACTTACATCACGTGTAGGTATCACTTAGCTATACGTGTCATTAGTTTAGAGTATTTTCGCTTTTTAGTTTGATAACAATGGAACTACTCTGAATATGTCATATAAAACACCTTAAAGTAATGCCAGGCTGTTTCTGCTACCAAAGTAAAGGGTGGAAAAGTAGCCTATGGTTAATGACTGATGAGATCAATTTGACCCAAATGTTTCATTTATAATAATTGGAGCCAACTGACAGTGTGTGGATCATTTTTTTCAACAAAAATTTATCTTTTTTTCCTAGTGCTCATCATGTAGATGTCTCCTGTTATTTTGAGCTACAGTAATTGAATCAAAGTGTAAAATAGCAACTCTATTATTGCTGACTAAAAAAAAAATTGCATCAGTTAAAATCCTGCTAAAACCATGTGCTTAGTGTGTAAACAATCTCTGTGTTTGCTAGAAGCTCTATCAAAACCAGTGGAAACAGAGCCCCGGAAAAATGAAATGATTCTATTGTTGACAATGTATAGGCTATTCTATTTTACCTGACATTCCGGACTTCTGTCCATGGATACTCTTTTCTTCTGTGATCTCATTGGTCAGTGATCAGGCTGTTGACAGGCTGTGATCTGATATTCTGAAGATAACATGCTCCAGAGCCAGTTAGCTGTTACCATGGTGATTTATTCCAGTAAAAAGAGAACCAGCTTTGTAGTACTGAAAACCCTGAGTTAACCTTGAAGTTACCTCACTAATTCCAAATCCTGTTTCATAGTACAGGCCTCTGGTGGTGCTAGATAAAAAGTAAAGAGATAACCAAAGTCTTTAGGATTCATCCTCTGGGGATGAATCTAACTAATTTTTATTGCAGTCCATCCAATAGGCTAAAAAGATTTGATTATCAAGAAACGGGATAAAAAATTGTCAGTTTATGTTTATGTTTACAACAAACAACATGCTGTTTATACTATGGATATGGCAATGTAATATTTTATCCTGTGAACTTTCAGAGTGTCCGGATTTCAACACCACCACTCCACCCACAGTGACTACAACAGAGGCTGATTTGGGATGTTAGTATTACCACGTTATTTGTTTTTGTTTTGAGATGTACCACTGAGTGTATGAATGACCAACTGGAATTAACATAATGCTGATTTAATTCTTCATGTCTTTGTCTTCCTTCTCCTGTCATGCACCAGCGGTCTGTGAGCAGTTTGTCAAAGATCCAGAAGTTGCTAAATACTACCAACTTGTGCCTATTGATGGGAAACTGACATGTGTGACTGTATGCCACAATCAACATTCACATCATAAAAGATGCTACAACAGGGGAATCTGCTTAGTGTACAAAACTATTGGACCTCTGTGCGAGTAAGTTGACTATGCTGTCAGTTTGATAAGTATTTCTGGTGAACATCATGACAGACTTGCTTTTAACAGTGTGAACTCAGATGGGCAGCATTGATGTGAGCAGGATTGTTCACATAGTTGCTTGTAGTCTTTGTTTGTATGTAGATTTCCATTTCTGTCCCCCTTACTTTTATAGTTTCTGCATGATATTCTTACTAAAATTTCTGTAATGCTTTAGATTATGGCCCTCAATGTACATAGACTGCATAAAATGATGGGTGTAGCCACCATGACATCTCCTTTTGGTTTGTGGACTTTGGGATCAGCATTTTAGCCATCGCCATCTGGATTTTTGGAGCCAGAAGTGACCATGGGTGCGTTCATAAATCCAATCTGATGCTCTACACTTTAATGAGAGTGTAGTTGTTCGAAGAGCATTCTATTTCTACATGAATTAACGAAAAGTTACGTTAATCACACATTCACGCCCCTCTGCGCTCTGCTGCTCCATTTCCCCAGACAAAGTGCCAAGAGTGCGCTCTGCCACTCCGAGCATGTGGTGGTCTGGATAACGGTACATTGCGACAGCTCGCCGAATTTACAAACCATCCAGTGTGTGCCAGAGTGTGCTCCAGCACTCGGCGTGAATATTTCTGAACGCACCCCATATTTGAACGAGAGGGTGGAGCTAACCATAACGCTAGCTGCTAGCTTGGTGAGCCCGGTGCATAGGTCTATAAAGTTATGGTTATCTGTGACATGTAGCCATAGTTAATATGGCATATAGAAGTGTATGTTAACATTTTTTAAGTATATTTAAGCAATATCACACGAGAGGGAGTGACGTTGTACTGTATATCGTCACAGCTGTGATTCGGTCATTCGACCGAAGACAATTACAGCCGTGACGATATACAGTACAACATCACTCCCTCTCATGTGATATTGCTTTTATACAACAGTTCAACAACAGCTTAAACAGCAATGCTGAGTAAGGAAATGTTAACAAAAGGTGATGAAATAAATTATTTAAGTATGTTATGCAGCTCCACGAAAAAAACAGTTCCCCCAGTCTGTTGAACTCACAAGCTGCTTTGTATTTACATTGACCTGCCACTGTGTAACTTCGTCCAGTTCAGCTGATGAAACGTTGACAAACCTGGATGTTGGCACGACCTCATCAGTACCTCATCAGATGATCTTTGATAATTCAATATATAGTGTATAGTTATAGTGTCAGTTTGCGTCAGTGTAGCGATTGTGACAGTTGGTTAATTAACGGTTGTATTTATAGGCTATTTATAACACCTGTGAGCGGAGTGATTTTACTGTTACATGTCCCAGTGATGTTGTACTCTATATCAGCACTCACGGAATGCCTCTCGTCCAATCAAATTACTCAGTCAGAAATAACTGTTGTATAAAATTAGTTAACATAAGACAATACCTATAGTTAACTATGTTAACTAATTTTCGCTGGAAAAAAAACAGGCTTAAAACCATCAAAACAAAATACTTACCACTAAAACTGAGCATCGCCCACGCTGCATCTTTGACCGCCTGGAAAACGCAAGGTCAGGCACTGGATGCTACTCTGTGCCAACTCTACTCCAACTTTCAAGGGCATGGAGGCAGGTTGCGTCTGAGGCTGCTAAGCGACCATAATCAGAACAGTACCATAGCCGATTTACTATAAATCCTGAGTGTAGAGCTGATCGTCTTCCAGGTGTTGTTTTGTGGGTGTGTACTAGGCCAAAATTATTGTCTGTGGGACAGATGTAAAGCTCTGGGTAGCACTGCACTAAAATGATCAACTTCTTCTCCATATTTACCACAGACTGATATTTACAGAGTAAGGGAAGGATATGTACCGGTTGTGATTGGTAGGTCCTCGTCACATGACATGTGGTGCACGCTGTGTTCCAAAATTTGAACTCGCAGGTCACAGCTGTTGTGCTCTGAAAAGTAAGTGCTTGTGAACGCATGCGCGCTGTTACAGCATCGCTCTGGCATTTGAGCATGCCTGCCATGCGTATCCATTGAAAACAATGAATTTGAGGGTGCAAAAAATGTAAAATGTGTACAGCCCCTTAGAGAGTCTTTCAGTACAACCAAATGCTGAACACAACTTTTTTAGGCAACCAAAACATTACAACTAACTTTCACTGACTGAAATCAGACTGAAAAAGACGATGGCACCCACCTGACTCAAAGTGGCCTCGCCCTTAATTATGCATAACTTTAAGCCTTAATAACATTTAAACAGGTTCAACTCCCGTATTTGTAATCAATGCTGAAATTATCTGTAGAGACCAAAACCATTTTTTGTACCAGGCTGTAAACATGTTTATTTCTGCTGTAAAGTTGGACATTTTACCATGGGGGTCTATGGGGATTGACTCTCTTCTTTAGCCAGTCTCAAGTGGACATTAGAGGAAATGCAGTTTTTGGCACTTCTGCTTTGGCCTCATTTTTCAGCCCTGAAGGTTGCTGCTTGGCAATGTACAGCATAATTCTGAAACACAAGGGCAAAAGTCAAACATCAGAGTCACCGTGCCATTAAACATTTGAAGGTTAAATTAGCCTCATTATTGAAACCTTAAACATTTTTGGACATTGACGTCATTTTAAATCACCAAAGATTTCTGTAAATTTCCTAAAAGCGACATACATACATATACATAACATATCCTGTGTCACCAATTCCAGGTTTATTTGTCATACGGCCCTGTTTTATGGATCCCTTAGACTGACAGATCAAACAAGGCTCAGTGTGAGTGAAAACAAGCACTGCTTGTTGCTGTCTCATAGTATCTGTAATTTAACCTTGTTCTTCCTCCTGATTCAGGTGTCTAAATGTGGAAGAGACGTGGTACTTGAATGATGACTGCAGCCTCCCCATACACAGGACTCCTTTCTATGCAGGGATAAGCGTGACCCTTGCTTGTCTGTTACTGATAGTGGGAGTCTTGACTGCTTTCTTACTGAGGAACAAACAAAGGCAAAGCAAGAGGTAAGATGTACATGGATATTACTGGCAGTTTTTCAGCATACAAAGATGTGACAGAATGCTTCTGAACTCTAGTTTACTTCAGCTCAGTTAACTAAACTAAAACATAAAAAATAATTATATATTGTAGTCCATTTTAAACAAAATTATTTAAACTTTATACAAACAATATCTTAGACAAGAATGTGTGGACATATTTGCTTAACCCCAAATTAAGTTTAATGGCAGTGTTTATGTACATCCAATGCCATCATCTTTGACATTCTCACTTCCTACATCATCAGCCCATGACCAAGAGTTTTAGTGCCATGGTAGGAGTTGACATGTGCAGATTTCTTAGAAATAATCAAGTTATAAATAACACTGAACATTAAAAAAAATGGTTATTGGGAAGTCATGCTAGGTTTAGCAGAACTGTCGTCATCATCAGCCTCCTCAGTCTGCTATGGCTTTGTAGTCTCGCCACCAGACAATCAGAGATCTCCACCTTCTGATAGTCTGGGGACACTCCTTTCTAAAGTGTGTTTAACACACCAGCGAAAACGGCCGGCAACAAAGCAACGCCTCTTGCATTTTTGAAAAGGACACGCCTTCTCGGAAATGTGCGCTCCTCCTTTTCTCGTCCGCAAGGAAACAAACACACAGAAAGCTTGAAAATGGATGCCGAGAGATTTAACTCCGTTTTATCAAACGTGTGCTCATCCGTGAAGAAAATATTTTTTCCAGCGGATGTCTTTTACAACATGATTGAGCTAACTGGAGTAGTTTCATGTCGTATCCGACAACGGGAGGCTTTTACCAGATGACGTCCTGTTACCTTTGCTGCTAGTGTTAGCTGTCCCTGTCAGCTGCAGCCACTGATGCTTTCTAGACATCGTCATTTCCTAAAACTGAATAAATAACACACATAGCAACACAAAACTGCTTTGCTAGCTCAGTCATGTTGTAACTAAGATATCCGCTGGAAAAGATATTTTTTTTCACGGACCGTTTAATGAGTCATTACCTGCAGACACTGCTAACGGCTAACAGCTAACGTTTAGCCCAGCTAAACGTGCACACAGAAATAGTAATGTTTGTTCATTGTGTTTATAGACTTTACAAACATCGGATTAGTCCAAACGGTGTAGGGTACCTTACACGTTCTTTCTTGACATGCAAAGTCCATGACCAAATGTCGATATGTGACAAGGTCGGATTGAAAATGTGTTGAAAAATCATGTGTCTTTCATGTATCATGTATTTTTGGCATTGTGTCACTTATATGATAAAAACATTTCGTAATATGAGTATTGGCTTTTATTTGTTTAGGTATTTTCAATTTTATTCATATTTTGAATACCACATTATGAATGTTTCTTCTGTAAAGATATGATGAAACCTGCTTTGGTGTGTCTACAGGAGAAGGGACATTCAAGAGCAACTGGTGAACCAGTGGCTGAATGAGGACTTTGAGTGGTCCAGATCCAACAGTGACATTCACAGTACAGGTAATTTATTTATCACACACACACACACACACACACACACACACACACACACAAACCAGTTCTTTTTCCTGCGTTCTGGATGTTGCAGTGTTACAGTTGTGTATTTCATGTCTTAAGTGAGGCAGGGTCTGTTTTAGGCACTTTAGCTGTTGCAAACTCAGAAATACAACACACGCAAAATATGATAACAAACAAAATGTTTTGTTTGAAATAAGAAAATTTACATCATGTCACACTGACTTGCTGCTGGCTCTGGATTTGAATATGTTTTATGCTTCCTTGTCCTCTGTGACTGTGCAGAGGAAGGACTCAAAGGAACAGTTCACCCCGAAATCAAATATACATATTTTTCTTCTTACCTGCTATTTTTAGTTTACATTGTTTCAGTGTGAGCTGGTGAGTGTTGGAGATATCAGCCACAGAGGTGTCTGCCTTCACTCCAACAGGCCCACCACTACACCCACCTACCAAATCACTGCGCAGAAGGAAGTGTGCATCTATTGCTGGCTCACCTAGCACCACTGAGCTATCTAACATTACAGCTCAGCCGAGGAGGACGCCATTGATGTTTACATCTCACGCTGTCATGAGCCCCTCATCCTTGAGTAGATGCACCCTTCCTTCTGTGTGGTGACACAGTTGGTGGGTGTAGTTCAGTAGAAAGAAAACAGTTTCTACATAAAACAGCTCACAACAAGGTCTGTGGATTATCTCAAATATCAGATTGATTTCTGAAAATAAACATTGCTGCTGAGTTTTTCAAATGTATTTTTTTTACGCTTTGAGCACCACAAGCTGGATGCCATCTAGTGCCATTATATTGGAGAGCAATCAGACATCTTCATAGACGATTTCTCCAACACTGAACAACTCACACCAAAACAATCTAGATAAATAGCACTACAGGTACGAGGAAAAATGAGAGACAAAGTAAGTAAGGGATTTAGCCCGATGAGGTGTCCATTATCAGTTTTTAATGGCTGATGTGGAGGCATGAACTGTCTGAACTCGCAAGTCCTCTAAAAACTGATAATGGACACTTGGAAGGGCATTATCCCACTTATACTATGGTCACTTACCAAAGAAATTAAAAGAATATTTGTTTATATTTTCATACTTTTCACAGTCAAAATCTAAAATATTTCACAATAATAATTCAGTTTCCCTGGTAACACCTGAAGGTTTACCTACTACTTGGAACAATCATTGTGCACTAAATGGTTAAAGACAACCTACAATCATTTAAAATACAATTTAAACAAATGAACTTCTCAGAAGGCTCTCATCCAATGAAAATGTTACTGACTACTTCATTAAATAGGACAAAGCTCAGATACGACTTAGCAACAGGAGATATTTCTCGTCTGCTTGGCTCATAAAACCCTTTGGCTCAACTATTAGCCAGAAAGCTAAGGTTATGCTAGCAAGATTCAAAGCCAATAACATTGCAGACAGTTGACAAACAGTAAATGTAATTTGACACTATGTTTAACAACAACAATAGCTATCCTGTCCACAAATCAATAACTGAATTTTCATGAACAAACTATGCTAATTTGTAATGTTACTGCTGTGAAATGATTGCTTTAGTCCAGAGGGGCAGTGTAGTACCTGCAGTGTTAGTCTCCATCCTGTGGTGTTCAGTGGATGAGGCACTTAAGGACTACACTCAATGTTGAAAATAAATTGTAAACAAAGACTTCAACTCCTCCCCTTAAGCCCAATTTAAGACCAATGATTCGCAATGAGACAAAACTGTTTCAGAACATTTCAGAGAAAAGTTGCAGCAGTGTGAATTCGAGCCAGCTGATGGTGTCATCTGCAACTGGTTAAATCGCCGGCAGCTGGTTTTAGAACTTAAAACAACTTCTCAGAAGATTCTTATGCAATAAAAATGTTATTGACTACTTCAGTAAATAGGACTGTGCTGTCACAAGCACAAGCCCCTTGTCCATGAATAGATGCACACTTCCTTCTGCGCGTTGATACAGTTGGCGGATGTAGTTCCTTGGAAGAAAATAGTTCCTTCATGAAACTGCTCACAACAAGGTCTGCGGATTATCTTGAGTAACCAGGTCATGTTTTCTGGAAAGAAACATTGCTGCTGACTTTTTCAAACGTTTTTTTTTTTCTTTGAGCACCACAAGCTGAGTTCCATCTAGTTCCATTATATTGGAGAGAAGGCAGACATCTCTATGGCTGCTATCTCCAACACTTGGCAACTCACACCAAAACTATCTAAACTGATAAAAAACACTATAGGTAAGAGGACCAATTTGTTTTTTTGTATTTAGGGTGACCTGTTCCTTAAGGCTCTGAAGTTCATTTGGAAAGCTCTCATACTATAAAGAAAAGCCGACAAAGTGGTTTAAAAGGTTTCCTTTTGCATTTTTACAGGTGCTAAGGGTTGGAAAAAAGTAAATATGGTGCACAGACTATCCAAAAAGCATTTCAGCTGGTCATTGAAAACGCAGTTAAGTGGGAGAACATTTCCGAACATTTCATGGGTGGGCACAGTATGATATTGTAAAGCTGCATCAATAGATTTTTGGTTTTTTTTTTTTGCAGTCAGATGGCGCCAGTGGAACATGCTGTAAACACAACATTCATATGCTATTGCCTTCTAAAGTCATTGCGTTAGCAAATAGCTACTTATTTACACTTTGGGCAGACACAGAGCAATATTATCCTCCACTTGTTCGTGTCTACCTGATGAATGTAAGTTCAGTATTTAACTTCTTTAAGCTCTGGTTTGGTCTCCATCTACCCTGAGAAAAATATGTCTCTTCAGCCACTAAATGCTCTGCTGTATTTACCAGCTAGTCTCTAACTGTATCTGTCTGCTGTTGAGCAGGTAGTGGACAATGAGTATATGACAACATTTTATGAGAAACAGCAACCTGCCGCTGCTTGAAACAACACTGATAGGAGTGGAGTGTTTTATTATTTGTGTTGGTTTGGTTTTATGATTTTAAAACCCTTCATCAAGCTGAGGGCAAACTGCAAAGTCTGTGGTAATTCTCACCACCTGTCACATTGCATACATTGGCACGTGTTTTACCAATGTGATTAGATTTTATATGTCAGCTGGGCAATGAGCAGTCATCATGAGGCAGGATAGTGACGCAGCTAATGTCAATCAATTAATGATTAATGGTAAATAGACTGGGCTTGTATAGTACCTTTCTAGTCTTCTGACCACTCGAAAGCACTTTTACACTACATGTCATCTTCACACCCACATTGGTGGCCGCATCTACCATGCAGGGTGCCACCCTCTACTCGGTAACCATTCACACACACAGACACACCAATGTAACCATCAGCAGCCATTAGGAACAATTTGGGGTTTAGTATTTTGCCCAAGGATACTTCGACATGCAAACTGGAGGAGCCAAGGATTGAACTGCCGATCTTCCAACTGGTGGACGATGTGAACTGGTGAACCCATGTGATTGTCCAATAACCCCATACTCTTGTACTTCTTTAGGAGATTTCAACAACCTTGCTTACGCACATGAAGAAGCAGCTGTCCACAGAGAGGAACTAGAAGGTTACAGACAACCTGCACCTGTCGATATTCTCACTGGACATTTGGATACTGATGACAGACAGTTGAGCTCATCGGCAAATATTCATGGGCTGGACACAGAGTACCACCTACCAGTAACACCACGCCAACACAATACTCTGACTACTAATACTCTCTCATTTTCTACTGTTGAGCATCCACAGTCTGACAGCCTGTCTCCCCCTCTGAGAGACCTCAGCCGGTCAGTACACAGCCACAGTCTTATTCTGTAACTGATAACTTAGCTTTCTTTCTTTAGTTCTGATATGTCATGTTTGCTTTTTTTTTGTCTCTTTCACTTTCTTTTTCTTTCTTTTTCTGTCTCCCTGTCTTTCTTTCTCTATTATTTTTACTTCCCTTTTCTTATTTTTTCCTGCATTCTTCTACTCTTTCTTTCTTTCTCTCTCTTTTCTTTTTCTTTTTTCATTTTTCTTCTTTCTATCACTCTTTCTTTTTCTATCTTCTTTATTTTTTTTCTTTCTTTCTTTCTTTCTTTCTTTTTACATCTTCTCTCTTTTTTCTCTTTTTCTTTCTTTCTCTCTTTTTCTGTCTAAGCAGGATAAGCAGGCCCCAGATTAGGATATCCTGGGACCCCTAAGATGTGCAATGAAAGCTGAGCCTTGACTCTGCATCACTATGGATGAAGTCTCAGCTCTTCTGTCAAACCTGTTTTTGGTGCTTTCTCTTTATGATATAATTTAAATTATTTATACCAGCTGCTTTTAGGTGTCAACAACACTGTTTGATTTATTTATTTATTTGTTTGTTTTGTAAAATGGCAGCAGGGTAAGTGTTAGTGATCAAAATGCACTACATACAGTATATTTATGATTTTGTGATTATATAGTGAAAATACTTTCTCTTTTTACATAAAGGAAGGACTTGAATTTCAAGTTCTCCATGCTGCTGTCCTGATACAGTGACAAATTGTTGTTTTAATGTATGATAATGACTGTTCAGTAACTATTGACTGACTGTAGTAACAGGGAGAGTAGTACTGTGCATGTTGACATGTCTTGACAGAACCACAGTGGATTAAAGGATGTAGGAGTAAATGGAACTACAGTATCACAAAATCAGAATGGCAGAGTTGGTAATAATTCACTGTTGGTTCGTCGCTACAAGCAACTCCTTTCACACTACACACAGTTATTTGGCCAATTGTTGGTATAAAAACATTTGATTTTGACACTGGGTCACTTTATAAAATGGCTGACTGCCAGAACAATGCACTACTGAACTAGGAATTGGTTTTATTTATATAATTTTGCAAATCAATATTGTTTGAGCTTTAATGCTTTATGCACCACGTAGCCTGAATAAAAAAAAAGTTCATTACTGAAATGGCTCTGTGAATTTCTTTGCTTCAGATGACATGATAATGTTTAATGACATGTCACAAAATTTACAGTTGTTGATGTTAATGATGGTTTTGCATCTTAGGCAATACAAGTTCCTTTGACTGTCTTCCAGTCTGTAGTCACCTCTGTACTGGACACACAGAATCAAACTGAGGGTAATTTGCTTGTCTGATTATGGTTAAGCAAAGATATGCATGACTCAAAAGCTCGACTTTTCCTTAAAGGCACAGTTCAACCCCAAATCAAACAAATCTGTTTTTTTTATCAATCTACCAAATTAAGGGAACTCTTAATGGGCACAGTTTAACACCAAGTCATTTAAACTTCATTGATATCATTTTGTCTATTTATGAAGCACAGGTGATTGTGTATCAGTTGTGCATATTTAAGTGACAACAGGTGCAATGGAGCAGCAAAGGCAAGACAACCCTCAAAAAAGGAATGGTTTTACACGTGGTGGCCACAGTTGCTCTCTCCTTATCCTTCCTGACTGATTCTTCTTTAGTTTTGTGTTCTGCTAGTGTCCTTGTCACTACTGGTAGCATACCTGCAGCCTAATCTGGTTGCACAGGTAGTCAATCTCTTCCAAGGTGACACATTTATACGTGAGGTCACAAGGTTTGCTGTGTCTCCCAGCACAGTCTCAAGGACATGGAGGAGGTACCAAGAAACCAGCTGTCACATGAGGAGAGCTGGACAGGGCCGTAGAAGGGCATCAACCCAGCAGCAGGACCAGTATCTGCTCCTTTGTGTGAGGAGGAACAGGAGGAGCACTGCCAGAGCCCTATAAAATGACCTTCAGCAGGCTATTGGTGAACATGATCATCAGGAGCATGCCCAGAAATTGTCAGATAAGTTAAGATAAGATAAACTTTATTGTCCCAAACAGGACAATAAAGTATACAGGTGCATACAGGCACTTGGGGGCCATACACACTACTGAGTCACATTATGAGTTGCACCCTCTTTGGCTGAACTGTGACATTAGCTGGCTCAGTGGTGCGAGGTAAGCTAGCAATAGATGCACACTTCCTTCTGTGCAGTGACACCAGTGGCATAAATTTGGACAGTGCAGGCAGTGTGGTTGTGCTGGGGCCCATGGGACAGGGACAGGGGTGCCCATAGGGAGAGGATGAGTATAGAGAGTCAGACTGGCAAAATTGGGGCTAACCGCTATGTATGCTATCATAAATGCAAGCTCATCTCCATCATGGTTTCTTTTTTCTTTTTTTTGTGAAAGATTCAGTAGCAATCCATTCCACAGTAAAATTATATTTTTAGTTTACAGAAACTATAAAACCACAAACAACATATAAATGAATATGTCATTGAATTCATACTGTACTACTATTTATTTGGTATTTTTGTCATACACAGATTTGCACTGATGATTGCTGGGTAATATGTATGTCCCGTTAAAGGGTTTTTTCCCCCGTTAAAGGGTTTTTTTGGGGGAGTTTTTCCTTATCCGCTGTGAGGGTCCAAAGGACAGAGGGATGTCGTATGCTGTAAAGCCCTGTGAGGCAAATTGTGATTTGTGATATTGGGCTTTATAAATAAAATTGATTGATTGATTGATTGATTGATTGATTGATTAAATTGATTAATGTTGTCCAATATCAAGACATAGCTAGTTTAGATGCAAAATTTTGAACTAGAACCCATATTAATAACGTGCACTGGGGCCCGTCCTAACTACCACACACCACTGAGTGACACAGTTAGCAGGTGTAGCTCAGTAGACAGATGATAGTTCCCACATGAAATTGCTAACAACAAGGTCTGTGGATTATCTTGAGTAACCGGGTCATGATTTAGCTTATTAGAGTACACCAAACTTGAAAAGCTTTAAATAACAAAGTGCACTTTAAGCATACTGTGTATGCTTGAGATAAGCTTACCTAAAGTACACTTGCTTGTACTTCTACTTAACCTAGACATAATAAGACTGTTTTTCACTTTCAATTGTGTACTTTTGATGAAGTAGTTCAACACTTTATCCACAAATTACAAACAATCTCAGCTCATAAGGTCCATTAAGAACTTGTTTTGAAGCTTTCAATCATATGAACAGCTGCTAAACACTGTGGTTGTTTTGTCAACTGCTGTTTCCAAGGTAAATAGTTACTTTACAAACATTAAACATTAACCTTTAAGCCAACATGAACAAGAGGTCTTAACTATTCAAGACAATCTGAACAGTGAAAGGTGAAAACGAACAGTATGTTGTGTGCAGTGTCAGTGTGAAGCCACTGGGGGTCATTGTCGCCTTGTTTCAATAGAGCTTCCTATGACTGCAGTAAGGGACAGTTCTCAAAGAGGGCAACAGAATTGTAACAGTTGTATTTTACATGTAAACTAAAATGTAATGTAATTGTAACTGTCACATGGAATTGACTGAATTGAGATGTCCATTGAAATAGTCCTGCAGAGACTTGAAACTGACTTAGTGAGAGGCCCAGTGGCATGGATGGATGGATTGCTTAAGGTGCCTACCATGCACAGGCCCAGGGACCCAAAGTCTAAAGGGGAGCCCTGGCCTTCACCTGCAAAATGTCAAATTAACAAGTACTGACCGGGAAGAGACTCAAAATGACCATAACAAGACACAAATCCACAAAAAGGTGCATAAGAACTACAGAAATGCAATGCAAAATCACCACAGTCTGAGTGTGTTGCTTCTATTTAGGAGAGGTGGTGGCATCTCTAGCCATGTCCACTGACGGAAAGTAACTAAGTTCTTTTACCCAAGTACTATTTTGAGGTACTTGTACTTTACTCGTACTTTACTACTTCAAACACTACATTTCACTTTGTCACTTTGCAGATTCAAGATTTAAGATTCAAGACAACTTTATTAATCCCTTAAAGAGCAATTTCATTGGACAGCTTGCACAACAACACACATACAACACATAGAACATAGAAAGAAAATTGACAGCTGTGTGCAAATTCTGTTAGTCACCATGATGAATTACATTAAAATGTGAAAAAAAAACACACCAATAAATATGTTCGATACAGATACAGATTACTAATGCAAAAAAATGGATCATCTAAAAGAATCATGATGTTTTATTATAGATCAAACCACCCAGCAGCTTATGTAATTAAAATGAGCTCTTCCTTTACCAGCTGCAACATAGAAGTGCTGTACACATTAATGCATCAATAATTATAATTCATTGATATAATGTGATGCTGAAATGGGCACTCTGCATAATGAGTTCTTCTACTTTTGGTACTTTAAGCATATTTTGATCTTAATACTCTTGTGCATAATACGAATTAATGTAAATCAGGTCTTGAAGGTGGGTCCTTTAAGTAAAATAGGCCACTAACTATAAATTGAAATACTACATAATGACATTAAAGTCAAATCAAATGCTGACGTCAGCTAGGAAAGTGCAGATCTCATTCAGACAGCCACCCAAGCTGATCGCAGCCACTCTAGACAGTTCTTGTAATTACAGCAGATGTGCCGCAGCATTTCTATGGAGCTCACATTCATAGGTACTACAGTCAAATTAAAGTCACCAGTTTAAGTTCCAATGTCTAATATTTAGTGGGACATATTGGCAAAAATGCATTATTATATAATAACTATGTTTTCATTGGTGTATAATCACCTGAAAATCTGAATCGTGTTTTCATTACCTTAGATTGAGCCGTTTATATCTACACATTATTTACATATTTTTGAGCCGCAGCGTGTTGCACATAGCAGATCGAATTCCCCTGCCAACAAGCACTGTATGTGAGATATACATACAATATAACTATGAGGATGAATCAGTCCCCTCAAAATTTCGTTGGCTGTTTTTGGTGATTGTTGTAGCCTGAAAAGCCTGGCTTAATAACAGCTTTTCTAAAAAAAAACTGTGATTTATGTTGCAATGTTTAGAGGCATTTTTTGGCAATTAATTAGTGGGGGCAAATGAAAAGTTGTTGCTGCCATTTGAGGTAGTGCTGAAGGACTGTCCCCCCCACTTAACACAAGCTGACACAGCACAGTGTGATCTCATCCCTGCTTGTCATATTTTGCCACTTGGGCAGAAGCCCTGCAGCAGTTAACATTAGACACTGAGCCGTTAAGCTTACACTGACACCAAAATGGCTCCTTTTTGTTGTTAAACCCATTAAAAAACCACAGGGTGACATTAGCTGTGTGATGCTGACAGTTAGCCCTGTCATTGTGTGTGTGTGTGTGTGTAACTCTATCTCATGCACAGAGCTCCAGTTCCACAGCAGTAGTTTCATGATGAATAGAGAATGGCAGAGTAAAACAATATGCAGCATGCAGCTCTGCAATGATCTAAAACTTTATTAGTTTTACCGCAAATTTGCGGTGATTGGACAAAACCTCAAAGTTGCGCAGATTTCATGGGAATAGGTCAGTTGTTGCGATCGCAACACCCTAGAGGGACTGTTGATTTTTTTTAAAGACTATTTTTTGGCTTTTTGGCTTTATTGGATAGGACATTATTTGAGCGTGAAAGAGGGGATGACATGCACCAAAGGGCCGCAGGCTGCAATCAAACCCACAACCACTGTGGCAATGACATTACCTTTTTGTACAGTGGACACCTGTTCTACTCACTGAGCTACTTGGTGCCCTGAATGTGTTTTTAATAACAGAAACTCAGTCACAAATCTTTGATCTATGTAATTTATAACTGGACTTTTATATGGGAAATAATAAACCAATAAACACAATGAAAACAGACAAAAAACAGAAACCATTTCAACGCCAAATTACTTATGATAGAAGCACAAATATAAAAAAAAAAAGACCAAATCAACAATTGTTAATCCCAACAAATTCAGGCAGGCAAACCACTTAATGAGATTTAAAATGAGAGCAATCTTTCCTACAGATGTCAAAGGCTAAAATGCGGCAAGTAACAGACAGTAAGGCTTGTTGTTTTTAGCCTGAGATAATATCTGGGTAACCTGGGGTCATGGAGTGAAAGAAGAGTGGGA